GATCGTATGAGATGAAGAGCATTTGGAACGTCTCTTATTCCTGTCGCTTGCCCTTGATTTTGGGGGGCCGGCCCGCCTGGCAGTGATCTTCGTTATGCCCTCGTTTGTGGCATTTCTGACATACGTGCATCGTGAATGGACAGACGCGAACAAAATGAAAATGACCGCACTACCAGCATGCTGATGGAGGTTTTCTGAATGTGGAGTTTCTGGGCTTCTTTGGCGACATGGACTTCGTATAAGTAATAGCAAGAACGCTGGTGGCGGCAAACGAAGCACTGGGTTGCTCCACGATCGCAGAATCATGGTTAAGATTCTTGAGTCGCTGACACTCGGCCGTCAATGTCTGCAGAATGGAGTCTGGGTCCTGTTCAATTTTGGAGAGCGGACGAGTTCTGGTTTCAGCATCACGAGGTGACTGCAGGAGGCTCACAAAGATAAGGCACTTGAATTGGTCATCGGTTAACTCTCGGAACTTTAACCTTTCACACTCGCGGTTGACAGTACTGGTGAGCGTTAGAAAATCAGAGCTCAGAGCTCAGTGTAGCGTCCGAGTCGGCTAGAGGCGGGAGATGGAAAGTATGTTCCTCAGGTGGATTGATTGGTGGAGTTGATTGTTTCGCTACAGGGCGAAACGAATCTAAGAACGGATTAGTTTGAATAGATCCTATTGAGGAGCAAGGGTCTGACGTAGAGGCTTCTGATCGTGAACTGTCTGAAGGCGGGGTATTCTGAAACAGAGGGGTAGGTTCCCAAGCTTCGTCAAGCAAACGTGCATATCTCTGTCCATCGAATGAATCAGACAATTCGTTATGTATCATGATAGTAAAAGTTTAATAGAATAGGAAGATCTGGTTTATTATAAGGACGATAATAGTATCAAAAATAGGTGCGTAACGAAAACGATAGTAAGCAATCTAAAGGTAACGTTCAAAACATATGTTCTCACAGGGTATGGTAGTAACGCGAACGAGGTACAGTATAGAAAACATATAAACGTAGATTAGAAAAATGTGGTGGATCATAACACCAAATTGGAAGGTTCTGGTAGAGAAAACGAGTTTGACTTATCGAGTCCCAAGCGGCTCCCTGACCTCACGCTGAGCTCTCGTTCTAGACCAGCCTGAGACACTGGTATCGAGTGTTGAGCAAGGAGGACTTCTCGCTGAAGATCTCTGACAAGCGCTTGACGATTTCGTCGAAAGTGAAGTCAGCATGGTTTTTCGGCAGAATGATATGCATGTACCACTCGTGTTCTTTGGTGCCCAGTTTGCGTAAAAGCAGGCGCACCTTCCAAGCATCATCAGCCCTGGAAAATTGCTCACGAA